TTGTATATTAAAACATATTTGTTTTAAAAAGAAAATTGTTTGTATCAATCTTGTTGGTAAATATCATAAGCTGACTATATATCGGCCTTTACTTAACTACTAAATTTAAAGTATCATTTAACTCAATTCAGGCTATTTGAAATTCTAATACGTAACAGTTATTAAACGTATGAGTTATTTCAAATTATTTTGTTTTGATTTATAAAATTAGCTCACGTTTGATCAAATGCTGTAAAAAATAGCAATGCCATTTAATTTAGTGTAAAATTTCTACTGTATGGGACACTAAAAATATGTTATTTAAACTGTGTATTTACTTTGCAAAGCTGTTTTCAAAAAATCAGGTAAGAAATTATATATATATTGAGTCGTAAGTATAATGTATTTTTTCGTTTTTATGCCCTTCTTTTTAATACTGCAGTATTGATTGTGGTGGGCCTCTATATTTATATATATAGTCGCGAATTGTTCTCTCTCTATCTGTCAGTCTGTTCTGTATACACGACCACATCTTTAAAGCCATGAACGCCAAACTCTGGATACGTATACAATTTTGCCTCAGAAGGCCAAAGTCACTAATATAGCAATTTTTGGCAAACAGAGCGACCAATTGGTCTCAAATTGAAAAGGCCAGATTATTTGGTAATGTGTGATCAGGAGGACTTATATTTAAGTTTCTTCTCTATTAAGGACTTCTTCTAATTATTCTATCCATGATCAATTATGTGTTAAAACGATTTAAAAATTTCGTAAAGCCTTAATTTGTGTTCTTTCCCTCTCTCCTTCCTTCTTTCTTTTACACATACATGCCTACTCTCTAACTCCCCTTAAAGGAAAGCGGCTGGTGCTTTCTCTTGAATATGCGCGTACAGTCTCCTCTACTAAGTAGGCTTGTTTCAGCCATATCTTTTGCTTTACTTGCGTGTACTCACAAGAATCAGCTATACGATGACTTTACGAAAACGTTTGGTATCGGCAGATTTTAATTTACGTTGTGTTGCAAAGAGAAGAGAATAAATGAATTCTTCATAAATGAAGTCAGAATACGTTGCAAACAACGCTTGACCACACAAATCATGACGCCAAAAGGTAGAGAAGTTTGTTTTGGAAACTTGAAATGTCATGCAAAGCACATTCAAGAAGCAGGAGTAATGTACCCGATTTCGCTTGATTAAAATAGCTTTAGCAATTTTTTTCGCACATTTTTATTTATTTTTTATCGATTTGAATCAAAACATTTAGTTAGGTAAAGAAATCCTTTTTTATTTTATGAAAAAAAAAATCATGATTAATATGGTTGATTTAATGAAAACAACTCAGGATATTTAAAACCATTTTCATCCGAGCGACGCTGGATACTCTGCTAATTGTTAATATACTTACAATTTTAAGAAGGTTATTAATTCGAATAAAAACCACGGCCACCTCCTGTTAATATCATAGGAAATCAAACTACCTGCAACTGCTTATCCACCAGCTTCTACAGACCAAGCTAGTCCTCCTAAAGGGATGGAGGAAGACCGTTCTCAGCGTGTTTTATTAATTTAATCATTTGTGCATTATTATTCTGATGAGCTATTACTATTTTTTATAAGTATGTACAAAGTACTTGTCCTTCTTTAAAATTATTCACCATTGTCTACACAAGTATTACGCATGCTCCACAGAAAAGACGATAGATTCGCTGAGTGTATAGAGACCATAATTTCACAGGCTTTAAAAAGTATTTTTGACATTTCAATGAACGTACTATCTCTTTCATCACTGATAAGTAGGTCCTCGCAAAAGAGCAGTTTCTTCTGAGAAAAGTTTTACAAAAAAAAGACATTTCTTAATATAAGTAACTCGGAAAAATCAAGAAGAAACGTTTATAGAAGAATTACTTTTATTTAAGATTGAACTAAAAACTTTGAAGAGATACGATATGAGTTCTACAATTCCTCTGTTAATTTCACCTTAGTTACTGTTTTAAAAGGCTTTTCACTTTTGTGAAGACAGTATAATGGTAACTATTAGGCTGTTGTTAATTAGCATGCTAATTAAAGTTGTTCTGTAACTGTGTAGCACGATTAAATAAACTAGATCCTAATTAACTGGTAGTAACACGGTGCCTTGAAGAAATTATATATTGATTTTGTTGTTGACAAACACGGGAGTTCTCGCTATCGTCAAGAGAGGAAAACGCTTAGCTTTCGTTTGTTATGCCGCTAGATTTTATACTCGTGGCAACATACTATAGGCCCAAAGAGCTCGGAAACGTAATGATTTGCTCACGAACAAGGGGGCGTGTCGAGGTCTGCTTCTCTCAACTTTCCGCTAGTGAGCACACGGCAGTCGTACTCATAAACGACGGTGCTGGTGCAAAGTTAGGGATTCAAAGTTGGCAACGCACCCTTCCGTTTCAAGTTCATATCCGTCCGTGCCTTCACATATCTCCGACCACTATGACATCTTACATGTGCTAACTATCCGCCCAGGACCTATGAAACATTGTCATTTTCTGACTCTCCTTTCAGGGTTTCATTGTTCATATTTAGGCTCAGTACGTCCATAATTAGGTGATAATTATAGTACTGTGAGAAATAGTTACGAAAGAAATCCTGCAATTAGCTGTCTAATTTGTTTTCACACGACTTTACACAGTTACCTCATCGTTTATTTTTTTCTAGTGTTTGGAGCTTTAGTCAGCATGTCAGAAATTCCAACTCATAACATGAGCGGTGTACAGCAGAGGGACACCACGTTCACCAAAATTTTCGTCGGAGGGCTACCTTATCATACAACAGATAAGTCTCTCCGACAGTTCTTCGAAGGATTTGGAGAAATTGAAGAGGCTGTCGTCATTACGGACAGACAGACAGGCAAGAGTAGGGGATATGGTTTTGTAAGTATACAAAAATATATAAAATGTTATCACATGACTAATATATAATAAGATGGGACTTTGATGAACAACATTGAAGTTATCAACGACCCAGATAGCTTCTGTATATAATGTCCGAGTTATCCTTTACTCATGACAATGAACCCTTATTCATATGAGTACTTGAGGATTGTATATCGTTATGCTACTAATTTCTTCTTCTGGTTTATTTAGCGGACAAGCTGTTTAAGACGCTGCTTTTCATGAGTTTTTTTTTTCTCACCACCAAAAATGTAAATTATTCTGCCAGTCCTTATGCAGAGTTACTGATGACGGATTGGTCTAATTTAGTGACAAATAGTGAATATAATGTACTTGACGTTTCGTTCTTGACGAAACTTACAATTTTCGTGATGAGAAAAAAAAAAGTGTTTTGTTACTCAAGTGTTCCGTTTGTGATTTAAACGGTAAAAGAATATATGGATTTTCAAAGTTTTTATGATGTACGATATAGTCAGTTATACTCAGTAACTTGCAGCTGATGTAGACAAGATACGCAGAAGTTTGATGCGTAATAGCAATGGATTGCAACATTATCATTCCCTGTCACTTGTTTTAGTTTGTTTTGAATTTCGCAAAAAGCTTCACTGTCACATCCATTCGGCTAATTACACAGCTTTCTGAAAACAACATGTTGAAATGTTGAAACATGTAGTGTGTATTTGAGACTGTAGATTAGTATCAAATCAAAATAGGTTATTATTTTAACTGTATTTGTTTGTGATGCTAAAGTGCATAGATATGTTTGGAACCATAAGAAGAGCGTTAGGAAGAGCTATGTTAGTATTCCATATCCGTCCAAAATCCAAAGGTGTTTACATGGTCTAGTGTTAGGGTACTCTATTGACAACCTGCGGTTCACGGATTTGAATCCCGCCTGTGAACTCGCTCGCCCTTTCAATCGTGGAGGCGTTATAAAGTGAAGGTCAATACTAATATGTGATTAGAGTAACCCAAGAGTTGATGATTGGGAGTGTTCACTATCACATCAAAATTAGGGAAGGACTAACGCAGATAGCCCTCGAGTAGCTTTGCCCGAAATTCGAAACAACTACATTTTAACTAAAGGTGTGGCAACCATACAGTATGATCTCCTACTATAGTTTCATGAGTTTTGTATCAACTTACTAGGAATCTTTGTACAGCTCATTCATATTTAGATGATAAATTGCAGAAAATTGTAAGATGAAAAAAACAAAACTCAAAGTACTAATGTGTCCCAAATTATTATGGTTTAAAGTCTGATAATATGATTAACATTTAAAATGATTGCAGATATAAATAAATAAATATATATATATGTATTGTCAATGAGATAAGGATTCTCACACTACAACAACAGTCTAAACTATTGCGGCCCAAATAGCCTCGTTGCTTTGCGACAATAAACCCCAAAACCAAACCAATCTAAATTATTACAGATAACCACCGAGTAACGTTGTGCGAAGTTCAACAAACCAAAGTTCGTCCCTGTGTATGCAGTAACAGCAGTGTTATTCCAGCCTTTTTTTCTAATAACTTGACTGGACTCACTGCCGTATTTTTTACATGGAAACTAATATTTCTTATCCATTTGTGAGTCATATTAGATAACCTGTAATAATATTTTTATATGTTTAAATATTTTAAGTACTTTACAAACAAAATAATCATATTTTTGATTGCATATGTTGTTTGTTTAGTAAAACTATTTTCTAAAGTAAATTAGTTTTATTTTTATGTTGCTTAAAACTAAACACACTGCGTCAGTCCAATTAAGCAGTCTGTGAAAGAGTGAGAAGACAACAATATTTTTTGTCATAACATATATTTAAACACTACGTTTATAATTCTAAGAACTTGTGAGTGAAAACAAAGAATATGTAATAACATGTCGACTACATTATATCAGCCATATCCAGTGTCGACGAAACCTTTCGCCCAACACCTGGGCTCATCATATCGGTTATAATACGACAGATATTGTACTGGTCTAGGCCCTATTTATATCTTCAATTACATGAACAACAACTGTTATGATGTGAAGTAGATTAAGTAAGTGAAATATTATTTTTATTAATTTTATTTAAGTCAGAATTACGGCAAGGGTGATAAACAACATATAGTTTATTTATTTCAAACACCAGTAGTTTTTAAAATACGCAATGTCCGCTACTGTGCTTCGTGATCGGAACGCCAGTTATATTAGCCATGTGATACAATAACGATCGTAATAGTTTTGCTGGTCAAGTGTGATTAAACTCGTCTGAAGACATTAGTGATTTTAAACATCACATGTTTACCACTTATTGAGTGTTTATTTCCCTTAGTCTGTAAAACATATTTTAATGTGGTATATTATTTTAGAATTAATCTTCCACCGGGAATGGGATTCGATCCCCAGTTGCTAGGAGAAGATACCAACATTAATGCACCATTTGACTCCACTATACATCAAGTTTTCCATCAGCTCCTAAGTACCTAAGTTATTAGTTTTAACTAAGTGGCTATAGAGAGCAATTTACAGTTAAAACTATAAACAAATATCCATAAAGAATATTAATATATGTGTTACAGTTGTCAAAAAAATCCTTAGTTCAGATCAATATCTGGTCCATTTTGTATGTATTGCTTCTTCAGTAAGGAGGGTAAAAAAGAACAGCAATTTACCACTTTTTGAGTCCTTATTGTTCTTAATCTAAAACAGAGATGAAGTTGTTGGTTTTAATTTAACGTAAAAATGTTTAAATCTGTTCAGGAACATAAAAATAGTGGCAATTCAGTATTTGAAACTACTGTGATAACACCCTATATTTGACCAAAAGTTCGGTCTTGAATAATGATTTACGGTATTGAACAGAGTTGTTTAAACATTTGTTTAACAACAAGGAGAAGGTTGTAATGGTCTATTCTTTCACTGGGGTGTGTGTCAGTGGGCCAGACTAGTTTCGGATAATTCCACTTCTCTTCAGTGACCCTGGATATGACCACCAAATGAAATTCAGACCAAACCAAGCCTTTATATTTGCTACTGTGATATAACACTACAACTACTAACTAAACTGCCATTTCTAACACCTTCTGTACTCTGGCTAAACCAATACTCTTGTGTGATAGACTTTTTTTCTAATACTGTCAGAGGACTTATTATAAAATGCTATCTTCTCACAACTATATATATATATATATATGTGTGTATATGGACACTATCTAATACTGATGCTCCATTTTGCATGATAGTATGACTACTATCTAATGATAATATCCCGTTCTGTATGATGATATGTATACTACCTAAAAACTGATTAAACCCGATTTTGCATGACATGTAGACTATCAAATGCTGACCAAAACCGATTTTGCATGATGATATGGACTGGGAAACTTATCCCAAGTTGTGACGTAGAAATAATGTAAAACGACAAACATTACCTCCGACAACATTGACTAAACAAATTCAGAAAATTAGTTTGTACAAACTAAAATTTATCTTACTCTGAGAAACAAGTTTCCCTGAAGAAGTCACAAGAAATGCTCAGACTTCGAGAAAGCAAACAATGCTAAGAGATTTTACAGTGACATATTGATGTAGCTCAATCAGTGGGATTTACTTGCCTTTCTTTACTTCAGTTTAATTAAAACATGACGATAACAAATCTATATAAGATTAAAGAAAAACAATCAAATTCTACGTTGTTTACTGAGTTAGATGTAATTTCCCTCTTTGCAACTCTTTAAGGTTAAAAATGCTAAATCTGAATCTTTGGAGAACTTTTTTGATTCGTTTTAATTGTGCAATCTTTTGCTATTTACCACCGAATAAGGGAAGTCCATTTTCCGAAAGCACTCGGGTTATTGGTTGTCTTTTCTCATCTGAATGTTTTGATAATGTAAACGCATTCTGTTCACAAGTCTTTATAAAGATCTCAGGATAGAAAACGTTATGAGCTCGCAGTTGTGATGCTTTTATTTCTGTACTCGAATTTCATCCAAAACTTGTACATGTAATAGGGGATTTATAGACGTGTTTACTTACTGTAAGTGTAGACTTCTGTACAAATGTTTTATCTATATTTAGGTCTTTATGTTTTCCACATTAGCCAATGTAATGTATAGTACTACCATTAGATATTTGGCCACTATTGCAGATGTAATATGCTTTTCTAGAAAATGGCTGAACTGCTAGACAGTTTGTCTCATTCATATGGCAAGTCACTGAAGCATGAACGCTTGAACTCGCAAGGAACTCGCTCAAGATAATAAGAGCCTTCTGTAGTACCTACATTTAGATTCAGTTTCTCGAGAGCAATTAAACCAGCCACGACGTCTACGTGTATATGTGTATAGCATATTTCTAGGTTTAATTCTGCTCAAATAGTGACATTATTGTTATTGCAGTGTGACTGCATGTCTTCATGCATTGGTTTGTTGCAGTGGATATTTCCATTAAAAAGATAATTAAAAGTTGTGGTTAATAAATTATATACATAAAATGACTTATGTTAATAACACAAAATGCCTCACATAAAAAGAAATAAAATCTAATTGCCTTCTAATTTATGATTTTGAAATGCTATGTAAATGACCCAACAAATATTTGTTATTTCTAGGATCCGTTTACATTTGGAAGTTTAGTAAGTTCCTTTTTTTGTCCACTCGAGTTAAAATACCCTTATTAATGTGTCTATGGAAACGTAAAGAAGCAGCAAGTTTGTGAAGCTTTATAGAACTGACAACGTATTGTTGTTTCATATTCTTCATCTTCTTTTTTTATCTCAGAAGCGACGGTGAGATAACACAACTTAAAAAACTCTAATAAAACATCAAAGGCTGAAAACAGGTCAGAATAGAGAGTAAAGATGGATTTAAGAACATGCAACACATGAAAAGCGAGGCGCAAGGCAAAGCTTGGATTGACGGTTAACTAATGACATGTTATCTATTCACGAAGAGTTATATGAAAATCAATATATTTAATTTAA